CTTTGCCACCTGAGGTTGGCTCAGGCCCAAGTCCAAGAGAAACCGCAATGTGGGCCATAAGCTTCTCTGAATCGACCTTCCGTGTATTGGAGCTTGGCTCTGCATCTTTTCGATAAGGCTATCATCAAAGCCTTTTTCAATCAAAAAGTTGGTGATCTCCTCAGAGGTGTTCCCAGCCCTCACCAGCATGGCAGTGCCAAAGAACTGCTCTGCTTCTGTGGACATCTTTATCAGATCTGTCTCGATCAACCCGCTCAGTCGTTCTAAAACACTTGGGCGAAGCTCCTCTTGAAACTCTGAGGCCACTTGGACCAAAACATCCATCAAAACCTTTGCGAGCGATTTCTTGTTCCCTGCACGCCATGTATCGACATGGACCCAAACTACGCTGCCCGCTCTTTGGCTTGGCAACGTGTGGCTTATACGAACCACGCGCGATCCGGCTGGGGCAATCTTCAGCAACGCTTCATTCTTTACCCGGTCTCTTCTTACGCCCTCCTTGCCTGCGTGACGGTAGTACCCATCATACTCCACAAAAAAGGCTGCATCCTTCTCTTTAAACATGCCATAGGCTGCAAAGTCCGGCTCCAAACTGTGTCCCGCCCAGCAGTCTGGAGATGGAAAGCTTCGGAAGTGCCCACCAATTGGCATGTTGTTGGGCGACAGCAAAGCCTGGAAGGTTTGATATGGGATCAAGGACTGAGAAGGCCTGCTCTCAAACCCAATATATAGACAACCAACTAGATAGAAAAGTAGATAAAACACTAATAATGTATACAGGAAACCGGTTCTATCTATTTGGGGACCACTATACCAGTACTACACTACGAAACTAGTGTTGATCGCCGCGGCAAATCTGAAGGGAATCACCGGCTTCTTTGCCATCCGGGACGCTGCCAGCTGTGACAAAAGCTCCACCTCTGCCATGCTGTCGAAGAGCTCCCGGGGCCTGCCTGAGGGCTCGTGGCAAGCGGGTGAAGGAACATCGGTGAGGGAACGGCCTCACACTCACTTGCAACAGGAGCCAAAACGCACACAGGCAAACAGGATCGGTGGTCAAGGAAGTCTCAATGGATTTTTGAACAATGAATTGGTACAATAGATGTGATAAATGAACCCATGTCGTCTGACAAGAATGGGACGATTACAAAACTTAAGTGTTTACTATATAGACGGCTTCAATAGAAATGACCACGGATTGCAGTAGGCTTCCCTCGAACACCAATGCCAACCGACTTAAGATGTTGTTGCCGCTGCCACGGACCAACACTTGTCTCTGCCCACGGCTCTACCTACAAAACTACCAGGCAGTTCAACAAGTGATTGACATGCTGACATGCTCCGCTGCATTGCTAACAGCTGCTTATGCTGCTTGGTGAAGCACGATCCACTTCTGCTTGGTCACTTGCAGTTACAAGATCCCAACTCACTGGCACAAACCCGAACTTAAACATTTTCTCCGGCTACCCCTCCTTCTCGCCACCACTGTGGCGGCTGTGGCACTACCATGCACATCGGCAGCGCAGTGGTCAGAATGCACAGCGCCAAGATCAGATGGTCTCGGCTTCGGCGCTTTGGCATCACGGCTGGGAGGCGGCGCGGCACGAACCATACAATTCTCGACGTCATAAACATGTCCAATGAAAGATCTTAGACTTGAGCCTTGACCGCGCTGAGGGAGGTATGTCTTCAGCTATGCGATTGATGGACCAAATCATGCACATAGTACTGGCACTAAGCTTGGACCGATTGGAATCCCCCACACGGTGGACCGTGGGTCAGGGAATTCCAGATCCAAAAGCAAATTCCCTAGCACAGCAGAGCAGAATCTGCTGTAGTGCCTGGTTGACCCGTGAGTCATTGAGTGTGTAATGGCTGACTGACCTCCAGACTGGCATCAACCATGCACATGGCCGAAGACCCACCATGACTTCGACCACGGAGGACCCAAAAACCGAGGTCCCCGAGCGCAAAGGATCATGGAAATAGACTTCGGTGAGGCCAAACTCGCCCTCCTCCTGTGGAAGACCGATGACGTCGGAACGTGCATTCGCCACGCGCGGCCTCCAAAGCGTGGATGGTGGAGGTTGCAAGTTCCAAGGGCTTAGCCAAGAGCTGGACGGGGGCAGTCAGACAGGTCCGTTCAGCAAAAGACCTGGGTGAATTTCAAATGTTTGGAGCTGGGTGGAGGGGTTCCCTGCAAGCAGGGCTGGGAACTGATGGAAGCTAAATAGCTCGTCTGCTTTCTCACATTGCACACACCTGCGCACCAAGAGTTGAGAAGAGCAAAAATCAATTGAAAAGCAAAAGACTTGTGTGAGAGGTCTCTCTTTGGAAGCTCCAAACAAAATGAGCCTTCAGGTGCCTGATGTAGAAACACACCTAGGACCTTCCTTCATCAGGGTACATTGCATACACTATTGTATATGTATATCATTATATATATAATACAGCAGTTCCCTCCAGCCCATGCAAGGAGGGCAAAAACCCTCCATGTCTCACTGCTTCGACTTCCCGAACCTCCAAAAAACACCCGTCCCTGTCGAACCGGTCCTTCAAGGCGACACCGATCTGGTCCGCGGTCTGGGCAAGGACATCCTCATCCGGCAGCATCGGTGGGTCGTTTGGCACTCATGGCGGACCGGGCACGACCGACACCAACTCGCGGCAAGTGGTGGCTGGGGGCTCCAAGTTTTTGGACCCATCCACATATAGGAAAATTGATGAATATTGACGGGGAGCAGAGTATATTGATTATAGGGGACATTAATGTCTGGGGATGTGTCCGAAGTGGTTGCTGCACAATCGGAAAGAAATGCACCACTCAACCATTCCTTACGCATGCGCTCTGCTGTGTCCCCCCTGCGGCCGCGCCACGTTCCAGGGAATCATGGGATGCTCCTCCACCGCCTTTTGGAGCTCCTCCAAGGGAGCCACCTCCATGCGGCGGACTTGGATGTTTGTGGTGTTCACATCTTTGCCTTGATGGGCCTTGCATTGAAACTAAAACTTCAGAACTCGGAGTTCAAAGACTCTGGATGTTGTTCTCTTGGCAGAACAAAAAAGGAGGCACAGGCCATATAGTGGATTGAAAGACACCCGTGGAGTAGGAGAGTTGGATGCCCAGAATTCGGGCTTCTGGGGTCCTGGGGCGCTTGGAGCGGGAAAGCCCTGCCCCTGGGCACATAGCCTCATCCTGTAGATCAAAAGACCATGAGATATGAGTCGCAAGGGATATGTGACACCTCAGGGCCAGGGCAGTCAATTTGAAGGAACTGTGATGAACCGGGGTGAGGCCAGATTGACATTTGCAAACAGTGAACTCCAAGATACTCCAAGGTGGTTCCTCCTTGAAGTCTGACCTCCAAGCTGGCGTTGACCTCTGATCTCTGTGCAGAGCTGCCTCTAGACCCTACTGCTCCGATAGATCCATATCTGCAATCACTGCCCCAACTGTCAACACTCATCGAATGACCAAACACTGCACAAGCACGGCCACCCCGACCACGACCCACAGCGCCACGGCGCCTGGACCTTTCTCGGTGGGCTTACTTCTGCGAGCGCCGCGTGGTCACGCGTCGCGAGGTGATCATGGGGTGGTTCTGAGCACCTTTCTTGCTACCACCCTGATTCACAAGCCATCACAGGCTTTTGGAGGTTTAAACACCCTCAAAAGGTTGCTAATTGGAAGGTTCTTGGCACATCTGCCGGTCTTGGAGGTTTTAATCCCCAGTGCTGGACTTTAGATATATGATGATATATGAACATCTTCAGTGAGATTCGATGTGGCCTCTGATCTTGCAAAGGAGGGCTTTCTGCCAGCGGAAAGCAGCTGGCGATGTTCAAGGCAAAGGCAAATGCTCTTTCAAACACTTTCTCGAGTCCCAATCGGAAGAAAAACACTTTCACACGGCTTATCCTTGCCTTTGCTTGTGTCAAGGCCACAGAGAGAACAAGAACTACTTCAAACATCTTCAAACAGCCTTTTCTTCTGGAATTTTCACCACCCAAGTCTCCCAACTGGCCGCTTTCACTCCCCTACTGTCTCGCCCTCCCGGCCCCCACCCGCCACCAAGCGCGCCGCACCAAGCGCGTCGAACCTTCGTCGCCCGCCTTCCTCGATGAGGCAGTTGGAGGGCAGCCAAACGCTCGCCGAGACCTTCCCTCGGAACTTCACCTGAAAGGACTGGTCCATCCGACGATCCGAGTGATGTTTTTAAGGTAGCTCCATCTGGTCACGTCCGCTGTCGAGCGAGTTCAGACTTAAAACAATGCGGTCCGGACATCACCTTGATCTGATGTCTTTAGGGCAGAAGAGGAGGACAATCAAGAAATGATATCTGCATCTTTTGTGGCACTTGCTCCACAAACAGTTTACCAAGCAAAGTTCAACACGTAAAGCTTCTGGGTGAACCCTGTCAATAGATTCAATACCGTATGAGAACTGGCGGCTCTGCCACCATTGCTGTAAACACTTCCCAAGTATAGTTCTCCATTGGGGACTCCAGTTCGGCCGACTCTTACTGGCTTGTTGAAGTGATCGCCCCCCCCTGCATGAGCGGTCAAGGTCCCTCGCATGGGTACCGCGCAGCCGAGGCGCCTGTGCTGTGTTATCCGAGGGGTCATCTTGAAGGACCTGTCGGTGGAGCTTGGAAAAGCAAAGAAAACACATGCGCATGATGGTAGGAAACACATGGAAATACTCTTGGGGATTCCATGGGGTTCAGCACTTGCTGCACGAGTTCCATCACAAGTACGCTCTTGCCTGCCTGGGTCCGCAAAGTGCATACAGCACACAACAGATTTGCCACATAAATAGGAGGGCAAGAGCAGCAAGACAATAACATTGTCCCCCACCTTCCACTTTCTGAGATTCTGCAATCACCTACGACAAATATCTACTATATGATTGTAACTGCATTATATGTAACAAACGGTAATAAGATGTATAATAAGTAATAAGTAACAAGTCTTCAAGTGAGGGAGTGAAGTCCCTTCCTTCCCCCACCATTCCTCCACCAATCTGTTCCTCGACAACCAAATCCACCGCATGCCTTGCCGACCTGCCCGCAGATCGACAGCAGCCGGTCGTCCCACTGAATCACCTCGTGTGCCTCGTGTGCTGCGCAAAAGGTTCATGGCTGGCGGATGAATGAATGGGATGAATGCGAGAACTGTAAGAGGAGGGGGGTAGGATGTCATCAAGGATCTGTAATCAATTGAGACCCTGCATGAACTTGAACACCTCCATCTGACCAAAACCAATTAATAAACTAAAATCGATATCTACTTGGACCCACCTAGGATTCTCCAGCTCAATCTCTCGAGCGCCTCGGCGCCTCCGCGAGCCCGGTCCCCGATCGGGTCGCCTCCACCGCCACGCGCAGCTGCTCGGAGTCCACGATGCGGACGCGGCGCAGGGCTCGGGGACCCACCAGGCCCTGTGGGGAGGCGACCGGACCCGGGATGCGGGAGGATGGGAGGGTGTCGTAGGTCATCAATGCGGTTGATGAACAACTATGAAATCAACAAATTGGTGTTATGCAGTTTGTGTTCATGATGCCCCCAAACACACACAGATATATATAATATATATATATATTAGACGAGTTCTGATGTGGTAGCCGCTTACTGCCCCCCTCCCACTGCCCGACTCGGCGAACACTACGACTGGCACTCCCTCCCGTGCGCCTGCGCCTGTGCCATGGCCAGAAGTTGGGGATCTTCTTCTACCATGTTCAAGAGTTCCTCTTTCCTTGCAACGGATGTTTTTGGCACTGGGCGGAGTGGCACGACACAGGGAAGTCAACGAAACCATCGGCGAAAACAACCGCAAGAACAACCTCCTTCAAATGGACACCCAACAGGTTGGGGAAAAGCACCAGCCAAAGCAAAGACAGGTTGCGGATCAAAGGGCAATAGCGGTTGCGGATCTGTGGGTGCTTCCGCAGGACTGGGAAGTTACGTCACGGGAATAAGTTGGAATGGGACTCCTCCATTCACTAAATTCTGAAACAAACATCGTGGCCATGGCAAGCAAAACACCACCATGTCTCTCTGCAGCTGAGAGACGTCATGTTGGCCGGATCGGGTACTCGTTGCACTTGTGTCCCTGGGCCAGCTGTTCTTTTCCGGAGAGGCTGCTGCGCAGTCGGTTTCTTTGAGCCTACAAGTGAAGGACCCAGCTCGAAGGAACATACAGTAGATTTAAGTTGTTTTTTTGCTGCTGTCCACTTTCATAGAACAGAATAGGAACCCCGTTGACATCTATTCAACATTCAACATTTAGGCCGCAGAATGTTCCCCTGAACGGATTGTTCGACCAAAAGGAACTCATCTAGGTATGGCTCGAAAGGAGGAGGAAGAACCTCCCAACCGTGTTGCAAGCCTACCATGGCTGTGGGTCCGAAACCACCACCGGGAGACCGACCTCGGTTGACTAGCAATGGACCGACCGAGGTTTCGAAGGTCAACATGAAAACAGCCACAGACCTGCAGAGAGAACGCGAGAGCATCCACTGAAATTAGGGGTTTGCAAAACAACACGGCTTGCATGGGCATGGCCGTCCGAGGAGTCTCAGGGATTGCTCAAGTATCTCAAGTTTAGCCCCGGTAGAGCCTAGAATTGGAACTGCTATATCACAATAAACTAACCACGAGTCAATTCCAAAGCTCCCTTCTCTCCCATTCTCAGATGCGCGTCACTGTTGCACCGGCACTGTTCCACCTGTGCTAGGCCTTGTCCTCCGTCTGGTGCAGCCGAAACAAGAGAACAAACCTTCACCACCTGAACACCTCCCATCACCCCCTGAGCTGCGGGGCCATCCAGCCACCTGGCTCGCCAGATCGGCAGCGAGAATGCGCGAGCATGCGCGAGCAAGCACGAGCGCGTCCGGCCCCCGAAGGGTTCAGTTACGGAAAGGGTTGTGCAGGAATCAATTCAAGCCTATTATATAGATATACTCAGCCCTGCTAAATCCCTAAACTCCCTGCACTGCTTGGGGGAGCCGTCGGAGAAAAGTCGACCCAGGATTCCGTCAGAACTCCGGATTGCCATAGTCTCAACTTCCAAAGGCAGTGGCTTGGGTGGGTGGATTACCAAACATGGTGAATCTTTGAGAGGGTATAGTAGGGTAAGATTAGCTTGCATAAGGGTCCTGTAAACAAGTGTATATATATAGATATAGAGAGAGAGATAGAGGAGATACTGCACATTTTATGACTATGACTATACATAACGAATCTACAGTACTACAGGCACTCCTTTTGGGTCGCTCCATCCCCAGCTCGGGCCGCCCCGCTCTTTGAACCAGGCCGTGCGCTCAGCACTGCCTCCGGACGGAGTCCGGAAGAGTTGATGGTCCGGAGGAGTTCAACGGTGGCTTCAATAGAACAGTGGAAGACTATAGATTGTACCATATTAGGACTTAAAGAGTTAGGAAACGATCCTGTCTGAGATATCATGCGTTCTTTTCATGTTTTATGTTTGGTTGCTTGCTCTTTGAAAGGATGCATATACTAAGAACATCTGTCTCGGATCTTTTTCGCCACCTTTGTGGGCCAAGCGCAATTTCGTTCAGTGAATGTAAACCTTGCTCGCGCCGACTGGAAGGAGGGTGTCAAAGAAAAGAATCCCCAAGCCAGGGCCCCCTAAGGGGTAGTCAATGGACACCTCTTAACTTCTAAGGGGCTATGATTAGCCACCCCTGAACGGGCAGCCCAAAACGTGTGGCCCTGGTTCAACTCGGCTGCTCCGCTGCTCGGCTGCCTCTTTGTAGCTCCTGGGGCGGTCCACCTTCGAAGTTCTGCAGCTCGAGGCGGAGCTCCCGGACCGGGACCTCCTCCTGCGGGCGGCACGGCCACACGGTGCCTTTCTTCGGAATTGAGCCGGGCATGTGGAGGGCAAAAGGGGGGGACTGGAGTGATTATTGAATATAGTTTGGCATGGTTGAAGGTGGGAGGAGAGAAAGTTGGAAGAGGTCTTCTTGCCAAGGAAATGGCAAAAGATCTTAATTTGTTTTTGATAGGCATTTCACTTTCCAAGTGAATCATGAACTCTTCCTCAAAAGTAGGTATGCGTCACATTGCTTAAGTCTGATGGCGACAGGAGAAATTGGCCAAATCTGAGTCAAAAAAAAGCGCCTGCATGGATGTAATGAAATCATGCATTCCGCATTCCCTTCTCCTTCATCTCTTCCACCACCAAGATCGAACCACGGAGCTTACCCGGGTGTTCCATCCGCTGTTCCGCCGGGCTCGGCCTCTCGCGCATTCTCCGCATTCCGCACCGGCCATAGGAGGCTGGTGACCGAGTTCTCCGGGACCTGGGACACAAGGGACTCGCTTCTTACGGAATGATGGAGCTCTCAGAAATGTCAGATTACGTTTTATATATATATATATAATCCTTTACATTGCAGATTGCCTTTGGTTACGTTATATTCCTTTCATTAGAAAAATGTAATCTGAATCTCTGAGAGCTCCAACTTTCGAGGCACCTTCTTGCCGCAAAAAAACAAACACAACCACGTGTTTGATGTTTCATTGATACCGGATGTCCGAGCAAGCATTGAGTATCCACGCACTAAGATCTGACCCCTAGCTCTTGTGATTGCGCCTTCTTTGAGATAGTCTTTGATGTGCTTTGAAGCTGAGTGTTGGCCGTGGCCATGCAGCTCCAACGAAAGGATCTAGCAAAGCGGGCGGCCTATACCGGGTAACTCCAAATCCACATACCAGGGCCCGCGGTTTGAGGTGATTAATGGATACCCCTTAACCTCTAAGGAGCTAGAATTGGACGCCCCAAACGGGGAGCTGTGGTATTTGGCCAGGCCGGTCCTGACCCGCCTTTCCATTCTCTTTCTTGGCATCACCATTCTCCTGGAGAGCGAAGCCACACAGTAAAGCTCAACCGGAAAGAGACTTCACTGGCACGTATCTACGGCACTTCATCGGACAAACTAGAGCAACTAGAGCAAACCATCCGATCTATCATATAAAGCAGTTGGACAAACTTTCTCTCCCCATCCTTTCATATCATGACAGTCTGAAAACCTCAAAAGGATGTCTTCAACAACCACAAATAGAATTTGGTGGTTGAAGTGTATGCAACCAACAGCATTCCAGTCACTACCATAAGTTGGAGCCCTTTAAGCATCGATTTGGTACGTTGCCAACGAGCTCCATTTCTGCTGGTGGGCGGACTTTGTGGTGCAAGTGGACATTCTACAATTTCGCAATCTATTAATCTAGTACTAAGGACCCGCCGGCCGAACCTGATGACCTGAGAACCCCCGTGGGCCCGTCGTGTCGACCCCCACTGGCCGGCACCCAGTCGTCGGTCCTTGAGGCGTGTGAGCTCCGCTTCGAGCTGATCAAAGCGACGCTCGACCTTGGAGTGACCGGAGCAGTGGTCACTCCAAAGGAGATTGACAAACCTCGCAATCAGGAGATGAATAGTGAGATGAACGTGTTACTGTTTGTTTGTTTGTTTGTTGGATTTGTCACAATTGTTGTTCTCCCTGGACGGTTGATTGATAAATCCCAAACCTGGAGATATAGAACACCATTTTGGTGAGGGAGGCTTTGTTCTTCAACAGCCTGCATTTACTCCTTCTCAGCCAGGTGTCATGATTGATCTCAATCATTGATGGGAAACCCTAGCTTCCTATCAATCGAGAACGTCCAACCTTCCCCAAACTAGCCTTGATCATGCCCAAAGAGCCCCACAACCATGCCAAGCACTTCGGTACAAGACTTCCCTCTTCCACACATATGTCATCATATTTCTACACATCAAAAAAATAGATCCCTGCCCTACCAAAAAAGAAACATGTCCAAAAACAACGGGGCTCTGCCTTGGTCGAAGGCTTCCTCCACCCCCTCCCTCGGTGACGCCGCACCGCAGCTTCGAAGGAGAGCCCAGCACGTTCGGCCATGCCGGCATAAGCCTCGCGTCTCGGTGTCCGGAGGTCACCATGTTCCAAACGACTTCGCGGAAGAAAAGCATGAGCCTTCCAACAGAACTTCCAACTCATCTTTAATCCGTGGTGATCCCTTTCAACACTTCGACACGTCCCTCGAGTCCCTCGACCAGTGGACTTGTCTCGCCCACCACGGAGCCCCCTTGTTGTTGTTTTTCGTGCGCGCCTTGCGGAAGGTCCCATGCGTCGGCTCGTCGAAGGGCCCTGGCAGCAGCTCCTGAAGTCTTCAGCGCCGCAAACCGAGCGACGCACCGATCCGAGTGTCCGAGCGTAATCTGGGGAGGCTGGTCTCCTAAGTGAGCTAGACACCTGTAATAAGGGGATGTCCATGGATTGAAGCAACAAGATTGGTGGATCATTGTAGCCTCAAAACTGGCAAAAACTCAGGATCCACCCCTTGGCTTGGAGGATGTTGCACCAGGTCAGTCTGTTGTTCTGCCACTTTGTTGACTGCTAAATGGGATGAAGGTTTGGGCAAGAACCATGCACGTATACTGGTGAGTATGGTGAGCATTCTCAATAACCGATCTATAGGCAAACCCGTGTGCATGGTCGCGAATCAGGAATGGGCTTGATCTGGAAGTTTTCATCTGGGATGCCACGATCTTCCTCAATGGTGCGCAAATCGGCCAGCATGGTGTTTAGTGTGTAGGTGTGGCCATTGGTAGGTGTTGTTCGCACAACTCAAGGCTTCGTCTGCCTCATCTGGCCAGACATTGAGTAATTCTATATGGCTTATTCTGTCAAGGCGTCCTGGAGCGACAGGCACTGTCGCGAAACTCCTTGGTCCGCTCAGCCTTCTCGGACCCCTGGAAGCTCACCAGCATGCAGGAGAGGTTGTCCTCAGGCGTGCGAAAGACACATCCTCCGCCGCGTCTCCGCCCTGTCTCAGATTGTCGTCTCAGAAACGAAGCACCTGGTGTGACTGCGCGGTGCACCGTCCAAGAATGCCCGCCAACCGGCCCGTGGGAGTGCAGTGGGAAGCGCTCCCGGACCGTGTTTTTTTTGGCGTGAACGATCCTCCAGCGTTCTTGCACTGCATCACCTTGAGGTGTGCCACTCCAAAAAAAAGACAGAACTTCAAGTTAGCCGCAGTGAGCCTTCAAAACAACCAATTGGATAGTAACGACAACAAAAAAAGGGACCCCCGAAAACAACACAGTTTATTTCACAAAACTGAAGAGAAACCGATGAAATAAGACCCACATGTTCTGCTGGTTTACTATCTCTTCTCGTGGTTCTCCCCCTCCCCCTTTTTCACCAGGCGTCCATGGAGCCCCGATCCAAAGCCCTCTGACAAACGGACTTGGCCGCCTCGAGTGCGCCGAACCGAAACGGACCGGGCGGGGTCAGGTCGTACGTGTCTTCAGTTGGTACTGAGTGGTCGTTGAAGCACGTGAAATAGGACTATATATACACTCCCGAAAACTAACAGAGACCCTGACGTCCTGGTCACCTGGTCAGATGGGTTTTCCTCTACCAACCGGTGGTTTTCAGGGTCCATGTGAGTTTTCGGGCGTGTAGTCCTGCGGGATCAATAGTCCCGTGGGATCAATCAAACCATGGATAGACCAATTGTAAAGGTTGAAACGATGTTTTTACAAGTGACTAAGTGGTTGCATAACCTTGCATAAGTCGATGACACAATCTCCAAGTTCGATGGTTGGACCTCCATCCAAAGGACATCTTGGAGTTCATCTACCCTGAAACCGTTGGAAACGTCTGGGAGCATCTGGGGACCAAACAGCTTCACCTGGTGAGCCCTGCCTTTGGGATTGATGGTGGGTTGTTCCTGACATGCTAGTTGGGGGTTATGCCTTCTATAGAAGGTATCCTGCATGGGGAGTAGGCCAAAATCTACCGGGGCTGTAGTTGCTCATTTGTCTGGTGCAACTTGTTTCAGGGTTCTTCATCAACTCGACAAACAAATATGCCAATGCGACAATGCATCGCTAGATGGACGGGATTGTCTCCAAAAACTCGCCACCAGGGAACAAAATTGCTGGCTTTTCATTCCTTTTCCTCCACCAAGCTGTTTGTTTCCATAGAAGTGTCCATTTGAGAGCTGATCCTAGCTAATCATTTCCGATCACCTACAAAGGCCGCCTGGGTTTAGGCACTCTACTTGGAGCCAGTTCATTGTCCAACCCTTTGGTGGTTTCACTGCCCACGCTCTCAGCTCCCCGAGAGTTCCCTCGCCACCTGGGCCAAAGAGTTCCCCAACTCTTCAGCTGCCAGTTTGACCTCGGCAGTTTCATCCGGGCGCCTCTGCATCCTGAACCCTTGAAAGTGCAATAATTTCTGTACGTTTGGCATTTCTATCCTTTTGGGCCGTTTGGAACACTTCAATGCCAATCTAAACGATTCAAGCCAAAACTGTACACCCCAAAGCAAAACTGGACGCTTTCTTAAATGACTCCCACCAGCAAGCACATCTATGCTTGGTGCATGATCACCTATGTATGTACGAATCTTTGAGCCATACGAGGAGTTGATCAAGAGTTGTACGATACAATATCATGACTTTGGCTCTTTGAGTGTGTAGTACACTTCTAGCCAAGTGCCACCCTGGGTACTTGTCAACCTACAGGATATGGTGAAACTTCAAGATTGCCGTATGTGGCAAGCATTCACACTAGTTTGCTCCATCCCACGAGCTCCAGGTCAAATCTTCTCATGATGGTAGGCCATTAAATTGCTAAATTTGAAACTGTACAGAAATCCCACTTTGTGCACTCTTGCGGGGTTTTGCGTACTTTTTGCGGATATTTGCGTATTCTTTGCGGATATTTGCGTACGCTTCTTTTGTGGTTGTGCAGGGAAAAGTGTGACCATGTATGAAATATATTGAAAGCTAGTATTGAATCCACACCAAAACATGCATATGGCATGTGGGATTTCATTTGGCAGCTCATTGACAGATCATGATGGATCTATATAATTATGCCAAAGAAACACCAAGTTAGGTGTCAAAATCTGTGACAGGATGGACAGGTGTAAAAAGAATTGATAAGCATGGATTTGCACATCTATCGTCTATCGTTGATCGTGTTTCTTAAGAGGTGATTCTACAATGGAGATCATGCGTATCTTAAAGCCAAGCATGGAGTGGTGAAGAATCTGCTCTCGATATATGATCTTGTCCTCCACTCAGTGATTTCTTCACGTTTGGACCAACTGGAACATTCAGCCCGCTTTTCAGGATTTGCGGCTTTTTGCGTCTTTTTGCGTTCACAAACCCAACAGTTCAAAAATTAGTAAACTCTTCAGGGTCCAGGATGGGATGGAGTATAGGCCCATTAGAGGCTTCCTAATAGGCTTCCTTTTCTGGCGTCCCAACCCCTTCTTCGGGATGGAGCGAAGCGGGCCTTCTTCAGGTGCTTCTTGCCAGTAGGAATGCCGCGGAATTGGCGTGAACAGCCACAATTGAACAAATAATGCAGACCCATTGTATTAGTTAACAGCTATATATATATATATAAGAAAAATCAATGACATTAATTGCTGTAGCCGTTATACATATGCATATGAAATGATACAAGATATATCTGTACGCGGTCGACCTTTTGGGAACTTCAAGTCCGTCTCCGGACCGACCTTTTGGGTGGCTGACGGAACGTGACCCGCCCCGCCCCGACCCCAAAACGGATCGCGCGAGAGGGATCGACTGAAAACATGTTGACGGAGAATTGAATGCTGGAAAGACATGCAGGAACCATGTTTTGGCCCAACAATTCTGGGAAATTAAGGCAATCAGGCAATAAGGCGTTGGGCAATTAAGGAACCACCTCCATGAGTTTGGCCCAACGACTTTTTTTCCCGCGATTGACCGCCTTTGAGAAAGACCCTTTTTTAAAACCATTTTCATCCATCTTCCAAAAGTAAGGTTGCACATGGTGGTACAGTCTGAGCACACGCATGCGCAAATCATTAAAGCTGACCTCCACGGCTATCCTGACGCATCTTAGCGAATTGGATGCGCAGCATGGCCACGCACGAAACAACAAGTAGCAGGGGTGAACACAACCAAAAAGAACTATAATATATACTCCAAAACCTTTGCCGCCACTGGCCGGAATGCAGGCATAGTCAAACCTTGTCTGGACAACGATATTCAAGAAGGCCTCGTTTTCCAAGAACGCCTGGAACTCAGTGTCCCACTGAACATCACCAACCTCGCAGCTTCCTTGAGACATTCGGACATCCCAAGAATCCCAAATGGCCGTCCATGTGCCGTGTGCCAATGAGTTCTTCACCAATGGGGTCCCAGGCCACTTCTCGGTTCGGAAAGTTTCCTTCTGAGATGCCGTCCTCAGTGCAGCTGGCAATGCTGAGGCGTGGTGAGGGCTCTCCTCACTTGGTACCTTCATCCTTCATCCAGGGTAAACAAACAGTTCCCCGTTAAACGACAGTGATGTAATGAAAAACAGGGGCGAGTGCAACCTGGCTTCAGAGTTTGAAGGCGCATTTTAAGAAAAGGCGTACAACTGACATCTGTTCACAACTGCACATTGTTGTGTGCTCGAGTTTCTCCTCGCACCGGCTCACACACACAAAGAAAAGAACGCCTAGAGCCGCCGGCACAACCTCCCGGTTAGTTGGGTCTGGTGGATCAACATCTGGTCCTCCTTCCCGCTGGAACGATGGAACGTGGCCAATCAGGGTGAAGCGGAAAGAAACGAACATGATCCATCCCAAGTAGGGGAAGGTTGCATCCAACCGAGGGTCAACTCCACACGCGAGTTGAAGATAGTTTTGGAGACTCGGAGAGTCTGAAGGTGCACACAAAAGACATCCATCAAAACACACCTTTTCCAAAGGTATCCGAGGTACCTTGAAAGATCTTGAACATCTTAAGGTCAATGGCCCTATATATTATATACATATAATTAACTTTGATGAACCTCTTTTGTTCCTCTTCATCACCCCCAAGCTCATCCATCCGTCGCAGCTTGGACGAACTCGCCACCCGCCGTTTGGAGAGGAAACTCCCAGGCTTCCGAGCACAAACTAACACCAAGAAGTCTGTTGGATCGCAGGTCATGGTGGTCAACTCAGGTTCCACCTCAGAGACGGAATCGACCGCTTCGACTGATCGGACTCTTGTTCCGACTCGTTCTTTGGTGGGTGGGTGGAGGGTTGAACAGTTGATTCTCTTCGGTATACGTAGGTCAGTTGTAGGTCAATATTGGTGCTGGGTCACTGGGCCACTGTGATTGAAAACTGTGAGGATCCATGAGTGCACCTGGACCCTGAAGCTGGAGTGACTGAGGTCTCTGTCTTTGTTTTTGTTCAGATCTGGTATCATGTGCTTGGGGAGTTGCCAGATGAAGGTTTGGGTTCGCCACATTGTATGGAGAAAACATGAGCATGCACATTGCTTTGAGAGTAGATGGCAATCCCAAATATATGACGTGGCTGAGTAGCTAGTGAAGAGTCTATTATAGAGTCCAGTGGGTTGCGCCACCTACTCTCAGATCACGGTATGTTTCTTGGATCATGGAGCATGGAGGCTGTCTGGTCCGAGTCACAGACGCCAGGATCGTGTTGTTTAAAGAAGCACGTCACCACTCACGTCACCGCAAAATGCCACGAACTTGTGGTGCTTTTGAGCTAGGCGCAAACGTGTCCAACAATTTGATTCTACATGGGGATGGTCCAAAACCTGGAGCCCCAACATCATATGATCTTGGTTTGCAGGTCACCCAGTCAGTATCCTGGCGCCATGACCCAGAGCCTTGTCAGTTTGACCGACCTTTCAGACGAAGTCGATAAACGGCCTTTTGAAGCCATGCCGACTTCCCTGAACATCAAAGACCTTGCTCCCCTCATAGCGACTCAAATGATTGAATCTTATTGATTCACTCGGGTTCACTTATCGAAGCATCGGCAAACCATGCATGGCAAAACCAAATACAAAAATATACAAAAACCAACAAATTCCAACGCACCTTCCTTGCCCTTGCACCTGGCACCTTTCTCGTCCCACAAAATCACCCGCTGGTCGTCCCGGGAATTCTGGGGAACCCACCGAGACAGGATGGTCCTCCTGGCGAAGCGGATCACATGGCGGGGAGGGTAGAGGAGCTTTTTGATCCAAGGCCGTAGTACCACAGTCGCACTAACGGTGGCTGCACATCCGAAACGAACCCCCGACCACAAACAAACCACATCTACCTTGGTCTAAGCCAAAACATCTTGAGGTGAACAAGTGGACCTCCAGCTCTGCACATCCAAGTTGTGACCCGAAAATGGAAGAATTCTGCGATCTTGCATGACGCCGTCGGGACGCCTGCCACAAAGTCATGGCAACCCATCAAAAATTCTGCCTCACCCCGTCCCAATTGATCCTTTGGTACTACTGAGCCCTGGGGCAGGGCACCCCCTCCCCAAACCAAAAAAGCAACAAATTACTTTACTTCGAGTGATCCCCACCATGACATTTCAATCATTTGTCTTGATGCCATAGTGAGGAGCATGTTGCCATAGTCGTTAGTATTGTAGTTCTCGATGTTGCTTGTGGGTCCTCGGGTTGTGTGCTGTGTTGTGGTCGTGGTTGTGTGTTTGTGGTTGTGTGTTTGTGGTTGTGGTAGTGGTTGTGGTTGTGGTTGTGATTGTGTGTTTGTAGTTGTGGTTGTGTCTTTGCGATTGTGTGTTTGTAGTTGTGGTTGTGGTTGTGTCTTTGTGATTGTGTGTTTGTGGTTGTGCGTTTGTGGATGTGTTTGTGGTTGTGTTTGTGGTAGTGGTAGTGGTTGTGATTATGTGTTTGTACTTGTGGTTGTGGTTGTGTCTTTGTGATTATGTGTTTGTAGTTGTGGTTGTGGTTGTGGTTGTGTCTTTGTGATTGTGTGTTTGTACTTGTGGCTGTGATTGTGTGTTTGTGGTTGTGTTTGTGGATGTGTTTGTGGTTGTGGTTGTGTGTTTGTGTTTGTGTGTTTGTGTGTTTGTGGTTGTGTGTTTGTGGTTGTGTGTTTGTGTGTGTGTTTGTGGTTGTGTGTTGTGTGTATGTTTGTGGTTGTGTGTTTGTGATTGTGTCTTTGTAGTTGCGTGTTTGTGATTGTGTTTGTAGTTGCGTGTTTGTGATTGTGTTTGTGATTGTGTGTTTGTGGTTGTGTGGTTGTGGTTGTGTGTTTGTGGTTTTGTGTCTGTGGTTATGTGTTTGTGATCGTGTCTTTGTAGTTGTGTGTTTGTGATTGTGTTTGTGATTGTGAGTTTGTGATTGTGTTTGTGGTTGTGTGTTTGTGGTTGCGCGTTTGTGGTAGTGTGTTTGTCATTGTGTGTTTGTGGACTTTATCTGGCAAACTATCTGGTTGAGGTCCAGCGGTGCACACTGCGATCGGATCCTAGCGGTTGAGGTCCAGCGGTGCACACTGCGATCGGATCCTTGCGGTTGAGGTCCAGGGGTGCACACTGCGATCGGATCCTTGCGGTTGAGGTCCAGGCGTGCACACTGCGATCCGATCCTTGCGGTTGAGGTCCAGGGGTGCACGCTGCGAGGGGATCCTTGCGGTTGAGGTCCAGGGGTGCACACTGCGATCTGGAGCTGGCCAGACAAGATCGGCGAAGCAGATTGGCGATGAAGATTGGCGAGGAAGGAAGCAAGGAGGAAGGAGGAAGGAGGAGGACGCGGCGGCGGAGGAGGAGGAGGAAGAACAACTGTGATAAAATCTAACAACCCTCACTGGCAGGTGGGGAACAAATCAAACCGAATCCATGCACTTGGTGCTTGGTCCAAACCTGCGACACCCTGCAAACCGCGGTGATACGTCCAAGTGGTTCGCACAGATATTCATTCCCACCAGTCATCCGAAGAATCATCGACCAATTCACCTATATTCATTGAGGCGGTTCTCTCATGATGAAGGCTCCCACTTGTCGAACTGGATGTCAATGTGCGGCCTTCCCTTAAATCTGCCTCAAACCACTCATGCCTGCCTGCCAGTTCCCTCTCTCGACGTGCATGCCATATGACCGTAAAACGTGATGTATAACCAGTCAGTACCAAGCAAAAGACAGGTAGCTGCATTCTCTCAAAAGTCCACGGTTTTTTTCCATGGTTTTCTAGTTCATGTCATCTATGACCGACGTGTGACCACCCCGTCAGATCCAGTTGCCCGCCCCGCCCCCCAGCCTGTTTGGGCCCGCCGGTCTGCTTGTGCTGGGCATCTCCGAAGGCCCGCGACACGGCCAGGTCGCCGTTCACCCGCGCCACGCCCATGATGCTCTCGACCTTTTCGGGGGCGGGCGCTGTTTTTGGGGGCCGAAGTGGGTGGAGCTGGGAAGGCGCGTTCCGACCCACTGGGTTTCGGTTCGGAAAAAAGGCACCGACGTCTACCCCTGCCATGGGACTGGAATATATGCCTACATTGAGGTGATAGGGTGATGTTCAAGATGTTTTAAGGGTTAATGTGGTCCATGTTGCTAAATATTCATGCATGGATGGTGTGGGTATCTTGGATGCCCCTATATGCCCCTTTTGAAGATCCTATTGAAGTCTTTGGTCCTGCTTTGTGAAATTTGCTTGGTAGGGCCAAAAAAGGGCTTCAGGGTTCAAAATGGTGAGGAGCTTGGAAGATGGAGACCTTCGGAATGGTTCAGAGACATTCTTCCTTCAAGCTGCCAAGACCTACTTCAGCATGGTTGGTGTTTGTGGCTTAGGGTTTTTTGGTGGCCTACCAGGGCCTACCAACTCTCCAGGCTGCCTCAGGTGCTGTCCAATTCAAAACCTCTCTCAAGATCCAACACTGCAAGTTCCCGAACTGAGTTCACTCTCTCCTCATCGTCCTTCGCGATTGGAGCAGTGAGGCCACGTGGCCACCCCCGTCTCCCAACGTCTATCCCATTCCATCACTTCCAAGGAGACCACGTGGCCACCCGTACGCTTGATTCGCTCCACTTCTGCCTCAAAAACATCGCGGCGCGTCGAACAAGTGGAAACCTGGGTCCTGTGAAGATAGGTGGTCTATGCTTGATCAAGAACTTTCACCCTACAAGCTGTAACTTTCAGGTTTAAGGTAGTAAGAGCTGGATAGCCTGGGTGCCTCAGTACCGTTCCTCCATCAGGGCTCCTTCTTGCCCCCTTTGCAATGCGAGGTTGTTGCAGGCCTGGTCTACCAGCGTTGGGCAACAAGCCTACCTCCTCCACAGGTGAGTCACATCTGCCTGCGGTCATTCGAATTCTCGGGGCCCAGATCAATGGCCTACCGCGTGAACCCCTCGACTGAAATCAACTCGATTCGACCAAACTAGTGGCTGCTTGGTGGTTTCGACAAATAGTCAGTGGGATCAATCATCTCTCTAAACAAAGGTTCAACATCAAAATATTCCACCCAGGTTGATGATTGAACGTATCTATAACATATTATAACATTCTATAACCCCCACAACTTGGCAAAAGGGGACCCATTCCATCGAGTCATCCGGAGGCGGGGCCTACCATGGTGTTCGCACACTGGATCGCAGGATCCGCACGCAACGAGCAATGAAGGGTGCCCACAACAAGCTGGGCTGTAGCGAGTCTTGGTGTTCTGTGTCCCCAACAAGTCCCAATAGTCATGGCAAGCCGCAAGAAGTGTTTCTCATCAATGCGGGTGATATTCCACAGGCAATGGACATTTCAGGACTGCCACCGTATCTTTCTGACTTAGGGCCATAGTTACTTTATTATGTCAATTCGACAAATCTAAACATCTGGATGACCTGAACTTGACACATCAGGTTGTCATCAACCTGCCTGCTACCTGAGGTCGAAACCGTGAGCAAGAATAGGTTTATAGTGTATGACCGTTTGGCTGGTTTGTGTCGGCCCCCTTTCCGACACAAAGCGTTGGAAAGCTCAAAGCACCCCGATGCCACCACCGAATGCCACACGCCGTCACTGCTCTGCTTGGGCCGTCACCGGATGATCCGGTTTGTGGTCGGTGGTGAGGCCCCCATCCGTACCAGGGCCTGAAGCAAGCGCAAGTAGGTCAGCCACAGGTGTTGGGCAACGAAGTGGTCGGCCACACACGAGCGGGAAGAAACATCGAGTGGAAAAAAGAACACTTGTGAAGGCAAAAAACACTTTGCCGCCTTCAGGACCTGCGAATAGGGATTCTTTTGAAGCGAGGAACTTTGGCACTTTAATAAGATACTTTAAGTGGGTGATAGTGGGTGTACAGAACAATAACTTAACATCTCAACGTGGACCAACACTCTAACAAATGCCTGGAGCAAGTTGTATCCCGACCAAGTCACCTGAAAGAAAGAACAAAACAAACAAAACAATGAGATGTTATGGGTCAACTCTCAAAACGGTAGGTTAAGCATCCCAATGACCAACAAATATCAGCAAAGACCTGCAGTTTTTGACGGACCCTTTCCGCTACACATGTTTGATGCCAGCCCCAAGAATTTGGCCGGGGCAGCAATAACACGCCACGTCATTGAGTTGACAGACCCATTCTGTTTGCTGTGCTCTGCAGGCGGGTCGGTGCTTGCCGTGTTTTTTTTCGCCCGTGCCTTAAGGGACCACCACCGTCAGAGTACCCCAGAATACATTTCTATATTGTTCCGCAAAAAAACCTCGACCTCACTTCGTGCAGATTATTCCGACCCTGGTGAGTTGCTTGGAAATGTTTGGCATATTGATAATCGCAATAGACTTCGAAATCGCAAAGCCGGTTCCATGTGGCTGGGCCGTGGGACGATGAAAGTAGTTGAAGGGAATAGAATAGACATAGGAGGTGCAATCCAAGCCCAAATCAAAGGCAAAGCTGCCAGGTCTGGTGACTATGGGTGTGGTGGTTACTTTCCTGCCTTGTTTTTGGTGTGGTGGTTGTTGGTGTGGTTGCTACTTTCCTGCATGGTTTTGCTATGTTGGCTACTTTCCTGCCTGGTCTTTGGTGTGGTGGCTACTTTCCTGCCTGGGTTTTTGTGTGCTGGCAGGTTTTTCAATGTGTGGCTACTTTCCTGCCTGGTTCTTCAGCGGTGGCAACTTTCCTAGGAATGCTGATGATGCCCCAAGGAATCAACGGAACTTGCAGCACACCCTTGGAAGCATAATTGTTCTGGGGTACCCTGACAACTCAACAGTTTTGGGGAACCTGTTGGACACATATTTTGGCCCCTTGTCTCCATGCCTCCACACACACAAAACCACCAAAGCCAAGCAGGGAAATAGCCACCTCACCAAAACCCAAGCACCAAACAAAAAACAGGCAGGAAAGCAGCTACCACACCAAAAACCACGCAGGAAAGTAGCCACCACAGCAATACCCACCACACCAAAAACAATGCAGCCAAGTAGCCACCACACCAAAGACTTGGCAGGAAAGTAGCCACCACACCAAAAGCCAAGCAGGAAAGTAGCCACCACACCAAAGACTTGGCAGGACAGCAGCCACGACACCAATAGCCACCACACAAAGAACCAGGCAGGAAAGTAAACAACCAGGCCACCACACTCAAAAATATAGAAGGAAAGTACAACCTGGGCTTAGGTGAAGTGGCTACTTTCCTGCTTGGGTTTTGGTGAGGAGGCTATTTCCCTGCTTGGTTTTTGTGGTTTTGTGTGCGGGCCTGCGGCAGCCATGCCTTCTGTTCCTGCCTCATGCGCCCAAAAGGATCTATATACACCTATATACTAGTGACATCTACAGCCCAAATCCTATGCGAAGTAATGACTTTGGGTCTTGGACGGCTTGTGGCATTGGAAGGCTGCACAAACGCTCAAGTGATTGGCCAACCAAAACAGGGCGTTGGGATTCGCACATGGTTCGAGCGCAGCAAATCAGTGAGCAAACATCATGCAACAAGAAGTGATTGATGCGGGATGCGCATTGGTCTCGCTATGTATACCAGCGCATTTATCATAATTGATCCAAAAATGTTGATTACTTGTGAAGCACAGCTTCCCCTGCCTTCGACGATGCTACCATCGGCTTTTCCCAGGAGCACACGGCTGTCGCCGATGTTGCCCACCTCAGGACAAACAAACGCGCGAAAACGGGTGAAGAAACTCGGCTCGGCTCTGACGGTAGAAACATCTTCCAGCAAAGATGCGACACACATCCAAGGAAGGAGTGATCAATCATGATCAATCTACATCTTCCCAGATCCTCTTTATTATCCTCTGTGCTTGGCCAGAAGCATGTTATGGAGGAGTCGGTCCCAGATGGGATCACCTTTACTAGGGCCTAATCTGATTCAAGCGAAGATGGATCGGATGGGACCTCCCATCGTTGGGGAGCGGAACACGTCGATTCGACGTCCCGTTTTCGAGGCGGTTCGGAGGTTGAACACGTCCTGGCCGCTTGGGTGAGCCGTTCGCGTTTTCAAACACACACGTCCAAAAGAAGGGGTGCGTGAAGATCCTTGTATATAAAGCGATCAAGAGTCACCCCATCATCTCACAAACCTTTTTCTAGCACGCTCATTAAGTATATAGGAGGTCAGTGAGAGGTGAGGGCTGCAGTGGTAAGAGGGCTGAGACGAGGAGTACGTGGACATGTATGCCTTAGCTACTGCCTTAGCTGATGCTACGTTGCCACATCTCTGTCACATCATGGAATGACAATCTGACTAGCGGCAAATGTTCGACAGCAAAATGCACACACACTGTCTTCTACATGTCCATTCCATTAATCACATGTGTAATGAACGGATTTAGGTTTCGTCCTTTCAAGGGATCATTCACCGGAAGACCGGTTTCTGCAGGCAACGCAGGCGAGACTTGTTTCGCAAACCGTGCCGCACTGGTGTGAAGGAATCACACCGTGATCACACAGAGATGAAATCGAATACGTCTCAATTTCAGACGCCCTAAACATGCGCAAACTCAATTTCATCTGTGGGGTTCTTGATCCAACCTGTATAGGTCTTTCCTGCTTAGAGAGTATCCTGTGGGGGGTCCTCCTTTTGAGACAAGCCCTCATCGGGTCTCGCGCCAAACAGTTGGCGATCTCAGCTCGCCAGCAGCTCATGCACGTGGCGCCGGAGGAACTCAGCATCTGCCTGCAAAATGACGGGCAAAACCTGTTGCTGGTTGGTGGTGGACATGCTACCGGCAACTATAGGGAAGTCCTGAAAACCTCATGGTAGACCTACAAAACTGGGGTCTATTACGTTGTTGCCAGGGGGTCCACGTAAAACACTGAGGTTCTAGACCCCCCTACACGGTACCCGTGTTTTTCGGGGTCTGGAAAGTGGAACACCTCACCACATGTCAACTGCAACAAACCCACTCAAAGGCAATTCGATGTTGCTTTGGTCATTCTGAAAAGGGTCTAAAATACCCAAAGCTCTCGGGTCTACAATGCTTGAAGCGACCATCCTAGACTCTTAGACCCAGACCGCCTGGTGGCCCTGCAGGCCCATCCATCCTAGACCTTTAGTAGTTGGGGGTATGTAAGATATGGGTCAGTGGGTTCAATATGGTTATCCCAAGTATATAGGTTGAAAAGAATAACCATCTGAAACGACCACCCAAAAAGTCATAGTTCTTCCAAAGTAACCATACTATGTCCTTCGCTCGAGGTCACTTAGGAGACTTAGGGCGACTATGTGGTGAAGTACAGGGATTTGAGGCTTTGACATGTTGTCACCCAGGGCCACCCGCCACGCACAAATAGCACATCTTGAATCTTCTTGAACAAATGGTGCAGTTAAAGAAGTGCATATTTATATTCATTATAGAGGTAGAATCATAGAACAATGAAGTTTCCCCGCCTCTTGTCCCGGCCGATGAGGGTCCCCCGCGCGGTGGCCCCAGAGTGAGGCGATGGGCGCGAAGCGGCACCGCGCGATGCAACGGCCCTCGCCTTCCTCGGAGCGTGGCGGAAATGGACGCTCCGGGGTTTGGATTCGACACCTCCTATTGGTGGATGCCAATTGCCAATTAAAGAACTGTTTATTATATGGCCCTTATAGACAGAATCCGGTGGAGATGGAGAGGGATCAATCAAAAGGCCTCATCGAGCAAAGAAATGGTTTCCAAAGCTGACATTGTGGAAATTCCACCGCAGTTAATCTGCATTAAGCGCGTGCAAAGCGCAGTATCTTGCACTCTTTGGGGAACGTCGTATGTTCCAACAGGGTCGGGTTCACCGGGCACCGGGCCGAAAGAGAAAGAACCCTCGCCCCAAGAAACGGATCGCAGATGATCGCAGGGTGTTCCTTATTTCTATCATTGTCATTCTTGCTGTTGAACTTTGACCGGTTAAAATATAAAAAACACATGGTGGATTCTTACCATACTCAGATAATACTTATACCCTTCGCCGTGACCTGGTCCTTCTTCGTCTGCTGGTTCGCGCGCGTTCCGTCGTGACTTGACCGCGCAGGATCGATGTCCTCCGCGTTGAAGTAGGAGTCCGTGGTGCAAGGCATCAGGTAGACCCTGCTTGATGAGGGGGGCAATCCGGCTAGAACCCGGGCACAGGGTGACCAATGGACTGGCACGTACCATATTATAGATGCACCTATAGTTGCCGCTACGAGTGGTCTGACCAAAAATCATACATGGACCAGATATTTGCAGCAAAACATAATGTCCACCTAGGATTTATAAATATCCTTTGAATAAAGCTAAACAAATCCCAGAACAGATTAATAAATTCCCCCCAAATAAAGCTAAATGTTTTCACCCCTGGAAAATCCAGCCTTTCCTTTATACTAAAGGGAAAATCTCTACCAATACTAAACATATATGAAAACAGTCTTTAAGTCTATTTGAGGTCTTTCAGGGGGGGGGCCCAACGGGGGGCCCCCCTACCGATAAATCAAAGGTCAACATTACAGCATGCCGCATTCCCGCCACTAGCACCGGCTGCCAACGTCTGCAACGTGTCGTGGAAATGGTGCAGCCCATTTTTGCTGAAATATGGAATGCAATTTTTGAAACCATATCTGCGCCTGACGTGGAGGGCTTTAGCATTTACTTTGAGGACAACCAGGAACAAACACCAAGAAACAACTGCCCTTTCTACAAAAGAAGCGGCTGTCTCACTGCAACAGCAAGGCTTCCCGCTCCTTCCCCTTCCTTTGAAACCGCCCTCATTCCGCTCAGGGTGTGTTCTAGCTCATGGGTTCGAGCCCCACCTGGCCGTGATGCGCTGGAGCAGCTGCTCCAGCGACTGGCCCTCCAGCCCATGGGCTCGACGAAGGTCGCCCGCCCTGCCGCTGTCCGGACGCGGGTGAGGGCGTCCCTGGGTCGGGGAGAACTGCTTTCGGTGCCCTCATGTCATACATGCTCGGAGGATGTCTCATCCTCGCAATTGGGAGGGTGAGTGATCAAGGTCCACTTTTAAGGTGGAAAAGGGTTGCACTTGGACGAAAGGTTCCAGATTGACCAGGAAGTGCTTGACGTGTTTTATCCATTCTAAATGAACTTGGCGACTTCAAAGGGGGATTCCTCCGCCGCTTCTGTTCACAGACAACTCCAAGTGCAGAACCGCAGAACCGGCTATCATGGTGCCCTCATGTGCCCTCTGACTCTAAGGGAGAAAACACACACCATTTGATGCCATTTGCTCAAAATCCTTGTGAATTGAAGACTTGAAAGCCCTGCACCAGTGGACACCCCACAAAAGGCCTCATGCTTTGCCCTCCTCCCCCCCGGTTGAAAACAAGACGATGCGGCTCCTTCGTGATCGGCTACACCCCCACCCCTTCCTGGTCTGGTCTCTCTCCATCGACGGTTTTACCGATCACCCGATCCTCCAGGTCCTCAGCTGCGCCAGGAGATGCAAGGGGTTGCCATTGGCGAAGCCGCCGTCGTAGGAACGCCGCACGAAGTCCTGGGGGGTTTCCGGTTGTTCAGTCCGGGTTTCGCGGTCTAAGAAGAAAGAAACTGAGAAACCCTGCACTGGACGGGTTGGAGAGTTGAATGTGTTCCATGGAGAACTCCATGGTTGTTTCTGGTCATCAATTGACCCAAACATCTGCTGGCATGCCTCGCAAGAAGGCAGGTAAACATATCCAAAATCAATCCGATAAATCTAAGCACATGCACCTATATATAGTTGATCCCAGTTCTACATCTTCGGTAGCTGAAGGTTGGCCACGGTTGGCCATCACTGCTGCATGTGACTTCTTCAAACGACGGCGTCCGCACGTTTGGGGTTCCCGGTTCCCCGTTCCTCACGGCTCTGGAAGACCTGGCCATCGCGGGAGGAGGTGCGCCACACCTGTCAGGGTTTCTTTAGGCCAACGACCGGTTTTGATGGTGCATAACACCATTTTAAAGGTAGTCTCTCACCCCCCAAAAGGTGAGATCCGGTACAGACTGTCTTATATGAGCTGCGCCTTAGGCCATGAGCTGCGCTAGTTCTATCATATGATTGTAATCAAGATTCAGCCTGGCTATATACTTCCACTCCACTAAAAGGTTCTTCAGTTCTTGCTTCAAACCAACCATCTGTTTAAGCTTGACTCCTTGAAGGAACTGATGGGGCACCCAACGCGATTCGGTCAAAATCAATGGAAAAAACTTCGCATGACGACCGTCCAGTGGCTTTCCCAAGGCAAGCATCTCTTCTCACCTTCGAGCCCCCTAGCCATCAGCTCTTCGCGGGCGAACTGACCCGCCTCCTTTTGGTAGAACTGTCTGGGAACGCCCCACCCAGCATAGATCCGTGCAAAGGTCTTCAGTGAGAGATGGCCCGTGCCCTTCAACTTCCAGCCAAACTCATCTACTTGACAATCCTGGGTTCGCCCGCCGCTTCGAGATCGAAAAGAAGCCGTCGGGCCGTCTGGGAAAAAAGTCACGGGCTTGGGGCTTCCGGCATCTGGACTTTGAGTTTGGTTCACCGTATGGTAGGACTGCTTTACGAAGAGTGTCTGGTCTGGTCTGGTTATTTTAAACACATTGTGCTCCTTATTTTCAGCAAACATGTGTTGCATCAAGAGCTTTCTCATAAAGCCCGGCCCTGGACGGTTCTTTATAGCGAGGCATTCTCCACCCAAATCTTGATTGGTAGAACGCTGCCAAGCTCATAAAAAGCATCCCAGCATGTCCCAGCACAAGAGGTTAGGGCCAAGGGATCTCCGTGCAGCTCCCTAGCTCCCTTTATCATCAGAACTGGCAGCCAGTGGTATATATAAACGCTTCACTCCCCACCCACTCACTCCTAACCCACCACCCATTGCAGGGAATTCCGGAAAGAGTTCCAAACCACTCTCACCATCTCACAACATCCAATGGGTCTCTCTACTCTCTCGTCATTTCCCCCACCCACCACCCGCCCAGCCGTCGACCAAGACTCTGGAGCTAAGGCCGCCTCCAAGCTGTCGAGGAAGACCACGTTGAAGTCACTCACCGCGGCCGAGCCACACACCGCCGCCACCCGCTGGACACGGTCCTTGGCGACCGGTGAGTGAAACGGGGGAGGTGGGGCGGTCAAATGGGCGTGTTTTGGGGGGATATGATCTTAAAATGCCTTTGAATCACTAGTACATCTATATAATACGAACGATACTAGTATATAAGGGACGTAGTTGTGTTTCAAAAGTTTTTCGACTCGTTTTGTTTTTTGACCTCCTACTAAAGTGGCTCACCTACCCTCCATTCCGCTACTGTATAACCCCTGAGCTCCGAAAGGGAGATCATCATAGGATGCTCAGCTGGTAGCAGGGAAGGGGCACCAGCTGGGATGTAACGGGCCCCAGCCAAAATGACTCGGCTGCAATGATCCACAAACTGGCCAAATCCCATGTGTTTCGAGAGGATCAGCCCTACTGTGAAATGGATTTAACAGTTTCAATGAAACCTTGCCTGGGGCTGGCTCCGGTTGCTGGAACCGCGCCTGGCTCCTGAATCAGGAATGCACGAAGCCATTCCAGATTTGGGATCATCTATAATCATCTATATAGGTGGCAGGTTTGAGGACATTGGGAGGTTTCCGGCATTTCCCATCAACAGCCGCACAGGCCCATCACAGCACTTCCAGCCAGGACCGGCAACACCCACAGCAGCTGTGATTGGAGGTAAAGAAGGCCACAGCAGTTGCCATGATACAACTCCAGTTCTCGGCACTTTGGAAGCCGCTGCGGTTCTTTCTGGGATGTCATGTGTCACCTCTTCCAGCGGCATGAGTCATGCACCGATCGATCTCATGTGAGGAGCCGGAAACATGGCAGCCCAGTGCAAGGCTTGCATCGCACCCATGGAGTAGCCATAGATCATGGCGAGCTTCGTGATCCTTGGAATGACCGGTTTTGGGGTTGGGGTGTGTGATCTTCCTTTTCTTTCCGGGTGCCCGTGTGGCAGGCCCAAACATATGCTTGTGACCGAGCTGCGCCAAGATTAAGATCATCTAGAGATTGTTGACACAAAACGTCTTTCGCCAACAAATTCTGTATTTCAAGGTGGGAGATGTTCAATCTTACTTCCAAGATTTCAGGATGAAATCTGGCAGCCGGACATGGTTCGTTTGGAACTTTGGCTGGGTGCCATGATGGTTGCTCGACTGGTGAAATTTGTGCCACTTGAGGAAATGCCACGAGTCCTTTTTGCACCATCTTTGCACTTTGCATCCCGGCAGTAATTGTGGCCCGGACTACCGGCTACGTATCTTGCCCCGGGCCAGGTGGGACCCTGCTTCATGACCCCCTTGAGTCCAGGACTCCCCAAAGAATCCAACAGCAAGGCCTGCAAACGCACGTTGTCACAAATGCTGGTGCCCTGACAAGGGAAGCCTTCATCACCCGGCGAGCTGGACATGCCGTTGCCCAGGAGGTTCACGATGATCACACAGTACCTCATCACAGGTGATGTTCTCAAATGCAAGAGGATTCCTTCCTTCCAAGGAAAGCACGTTGAACAAGCATCTGCTCAGTCAGAAAAGCCTGGCTTTCAAAGAAGAAATGTCTAGTCTAAAACCTGCGAGCTCCCCACGCAGGTGTGCATTGGAAAATGGGGACTCTCCTGCTTCAATGGGTTCTGGGGTCCCCTCAAGGCAAGTGACTTGTTGGTGTCCAAGGTCTTCCCAGGCCCCACGTTGAATTCCAGCTCCGGGTGAGTGGCATCGAAGGAGGTCGGATGCAAAATGCAGTTGGCCTTCTCCTACGAGGGACGTTTATTCTTCGGTCCGTAATGACTGGAGAGACCAATGAGGATGAAACTTGCTTGTGCATCTTGAGGCTCACCCATGAGAAAAAAAGAACACATGGAGCAGGACCCTCCCTAAGAATCACTTCTTCACGGAGAAGAAGAATTGAACGAGCTCACCTGGCAATGCAGGATGTTTCTGCACCAAATTGCACCTCAAGAAAAGGCAGCGATTTTCAAGCACACCCGATCAAGATTCCTCAGCTTTGGCAAAGACATCGCCCCTCCTCATCCAACTGGCCATACATCTCATAGACCAACTTCAGTTGCTCGCCAGATTCGCCTAGGAGCTTGCTTGACGTGCTCGCTTCTGAAATGATGACAGTGGAAAGACACTGCTGGTACTTCAAGCAGGCTCTTACTCGATTCACTCGATTCTACTGTTCAAGGCAAAACTTCTGCACCACCTGAGTACAAAGACCCGTAAAAGAGTCAAAGAATGCCCATCCGAGGCCGATTATTTGGACCTTCGTACTCCGCTGCATCTGCCCACCTGCCTCTGAGCGAAGGGTTTGATGATGTTTCAAGTCTTGAGCTTGTCCACTCCAGTCTGTAACTGTAAGTGGACAAATGCCCATCATTGAGTACAATTTTGGATGGTTTGGGGTGCATCATCCGCAGCAGTTCTACGGCAACCAACAATATCACAGGAGTACTCAAAGCAGTTACTCGAAGCACAGCCACCAAACCCTCGGCTTATGTTCCCAAAACCTAGTCCTTTCAAAAGAGACTTCCAGAGTTCCCCCCTACCTTGGCAGGATCAAAACCAAAACCACAGAACAACAGTGTAACAACACCACGTTTGTTTCATCCCAAACCCTTTCCTGTGGGTTTTTGAAGCCCTTCTTGCGCCTGCAAAACCAAGAAAAACAGGGGGGATTCGCGCACATGTCTCGCCGGCTTCTTCGTCTCACATCTCCCCTAGGCGCCGCATTTCAGACTGAAGCCCTTCGGCGCATGGAAGCTCCTCCCCGGCTTGGCCGTTGGCGCGCGGAAGGAGCGAAAGGACATGCCTCGGTTTCATGCTCTATCAGGTCCAGAGTGGCTGGGTTGTCCAAACATGTCCAAATTTGTAACTGCCAGGACCTACAGTAAGCATTCGAAACCGAAAAACACACACACTGGGAAGACACACACACACACAGACATTTCTTCTGCAATCCATGATTCACCTTCTCCAAGCAATCGGCACCGCGTATCTCCTCACCCTGGTTCCAACAATTCCCCAAAGTTTGCCCCAACTGCGACCCAGCCGCCTAACTGTTGCTTCGCCTTCTTGTTGCTCACCAGCGACTCATAGCCTGTCGTTGAATGCCCGGCCGGCCCAGGGAGGGTCATGGACATCCCCTGAACCTCCAATGGGCGCCCGTCTTAGACACCCCAAACGAGCCCAAACAGGGGGCCCGGGTTGATTTTCCTTTCTGCCTGCTGGGTGTCAGCAAGTTCCCCTAAAAAGAATCAAAGCGAAAAGCTAGAAAACTATCTGCCCAGTTACTGAAAGAAATGCCCCCGCCCTTGGAGGATAAACTCTTTGAATCGCATGCAATCACGTGGTGAGACGGGGTTTGCCAATAAGGTAGGACAGCGGGATCTAGCAGCAACGAAATCAAGGTTGCCTTGAACATATAGTAATCTATCTATCTGTCTATCTATCTATCCGGGGTAGAATTGTGCATACGTTTGACAATTTCCACGTCAATACTCAAAAGCGCATGTCGAACAAGCACAGGGATGTTGCGTTCTTATCAGTATGTGCAGCCTCAGCAACGGGTGTGGCTAAAAACTGCAAAAATAATCTCATTTAAACTATATAGGAGTGCCATTGGCATTGGACATTCAAAGAGCTTTAAAGGTTGCCAGAAAATAGTTTATGGTAAGCCTCTTATGGCATCATGGGCCAGACTCTTTTTTTTTTGGCCAGTGAGGACACATCCTTCCGACGCTGGGACGCTCTTCATTCCCCAGCCGACACCATCCTAACGGAGAGAAGTTGAAGTTATAAACTGGCAAATCCAGGCCCGCCGAGGCCTTTCATTGTGGATGGCACCAAGCTGAGCGCTTCGTAGCGCTTCGCCAGCTCCGCCTTGGGTTGCCACGGCGGGAGACGACAGACGCGGCAAAATCCTCCCACCGTTTTAGAAATCCAGATGTTTTGGGGGGAGCAGGGCGGCCGCAGCAGTAGTAGTCGTCGTCGTCGTCGTCGAGTAAGCAGTAATCAGAAGTAGAAGTAGAGGTAGAAGTAGCAGCAGTAGCAGTAGCAGTGCAGTAGCAGTAGCAGTAGCAGTAGTAGCAGCAGTAGTAGCAGTAGTAGCAGCAGTGGGGGAATGAGATAGTCAAAATAGAAGGATACTAAACAAAATCAATAGTCACGATAGTCACATTTATTTGTGCATTTGTTTGCAGCTCTTGACTGCTGGCAGTTTACAAGCACGCCGCCAAGACACACTGGGCAAGTTGAATCGGACATCATCTGCAACGATCAGGAAGCGCTCACACCTTCTGAATGCAGGAAGAGGGTGCACAGTTGTCCTATCTGTTTTCATTGATGCATGCTCTTCTGCAGGTTGGTGGGAGGTATTGATCGTTGATCAAGGCGTTCTGCAATGAAAGCAGCAGGGTCGGAACTCCATATCATGTGCTGTCGAACTTTTCTTTCAACAGTCTAGGTGGGGGGACAAACTTCCATGGCAGTCAAACACGCAGGTGGACAATGGTCATCCCTACGTTTTTCAGATCCAACACAGAGCTGAGAATACTCAACCTCCGCTGGCCTGTAGCGATCATTCAGGCATTCCAAGCAAATTGCCAAGAAGAACCACCAGCCATCACGACTACACTAGCCAAATGTCGTAATGACACCTGTTCATGTGCATGATTCCTGGCACCACAAGTTGATATGTTAATACCACATAATACCACCACTCCTGTCACGCGGGCAACCAACCGGCAAGTGCTTCGAATGTCCTGAGATGTATTGAAAGGTGTCAGTGCAGGGGAAATAGAAATGATCCAGTGCCCCGCTCTTGTCTGTGTAGGTTCTACACCACATGAGATTAGGAAACCTGTGACTATTTGGGATGCATTGATTGGCTCCAGCTGGTGCCTCCACATCTTGGAGGAACAGCTACAAAACAAACGTATTTCACGGAACTTCAGCATTTCACCGCATTTTTGTTGGGTGGTGCAGCCGTGTAAGGCCTTTTTGCTTTCGGTATTTCCTCATCACCTTCCAGTGCACCCTTCTTCCAGCCTTGAGGCCATCCGTTCTGCTGGCAGTTCCAAGGCCTTCAGGTGTGCTTCCACCACATCGTGCTCATGGCAGTAGGCCCACATCAGCGGCGTCACATCTGGAGCGGGAGGTCCCATCCACGGGATGGGAGCGCAGGAAGCATTCGGTGGGAACTGGCCCAGGGCACTACTACCTATAGGATAGGGGCTGTGCTCAAGGGACATACGTCAAAGGGTCATCCTATGTTTATTCTGCAAGAGCCATCCTATGCGAGCTAACCCAAGGGGTAGGGACTTCAATCAAATCTCTCGGCACGCTGGACGACGCGTTGAAAGCCATGTCAAAACGACTGACCTCTGGTTCTAGGCAGCGTGGGCCACTACTGATCCCGGAAACCCCAAATCAGAAAATAGGACGTGTCACATGTCACAAACAGAGGAACAGAGGAACAGGTGAAGAATCCGGCCTGCAACAAATATGACTGGCTTGTGCGGTCTATGGGCTTTGGTTTTGGAATATCATCTGTGTTCAATGTTTTTGGTCCTGGAACCCCAGGACCCCATCTGACAGGAACTGGGAAACCTTTGACCTACCAGGGTGAAAGATGGTGCAAGGGGTTTTGGTCCCAAAGCCATTTCAGAATCTGGATGCATTTTGAAGATCCTCTCCCTGTCACATCGAAATCTTGGGCTACAAAAACCAACCATCTTTTCGCCCAACCTTGCTCAGGGTATGGAAGAGGAAGCTCCTTCCACTTTTCTTCCTTGATGATATTGGAGAATCCTCAGCCGTCGGAACTCGCCGTCGCCATCGGCCTTTCGAGGCCCCAACGTGCGCGAAACGTGTGCCAATCCGCCAAGTCAACTCCATGCATCTAGCTAGTGGAAAAACAGCACGATGAGTCGGTCATGTTGCGGCAACCCTGCTCACCGTCGTTTGCAGGTCAATCCACTTTGGAAACAACTTGGGAGTTTGAATCTGGCCCAGTGTGGTTGTTCATATTGCTGCTGGTGCCAACTATATCACTTGTCATGACAAACGGCCCTAGATCTGACGCTGTGAAAAGGACACTTGGAGCATTCCCAACGGTTGCCCCCCTTGGAACTGTGAGGCGTTTGTGTGTTAAGATGTAAAGCCCAGTTACTTCACCTCGGTGGTCGCTTCAACAAATGAGCTAGTAGCGAAAAGGATGTTCAACCCCCGCCAGCAAGGAGGGTTACCAATTTAGTGATGTGAAGAGCCCAACTCACTGTTCTGAAAGGGTCCATGTTACATTCTTGGCAGGTGATTCAGGATTTGGCCCTAAAAGTATGTGCCACTCTCAACCCACAAACCAACACATGATCCCATGATCCAGCTTTTTATTTTTTTTCAGCAACACCGGCCAAATGAGTCAGTCCAAGCCACGCAGATGGATGAACGACAAGGCCTCCACTCCCGTGCGTGCACGCTTGCTCCGAGGGCCCGAATTGGCGCGCGTCAGCATTGCTGAGAACTCCTCCCCGAAGACCTAAAGCGAAACAGGACTCGCATCGGATCGGACTGGCGGCTCCAAGACCAAGGGGGGGGTTGGCACTCCTTTCTTGGCATTGAACACAACCATCACATGTGTTTTATAATGCAAACAAAACACACGCACACACACATATCATATATATACATTGCAGAAGAAACAAAGAAAAAAATAAAACACGTAAAGATTAAATGAACAAATAGTTAAACAAATAGATAGATGGATGCTTGTCCTAAAGCAAGCAGGAGTATGCAGTCGATGGACTGACGGGAGTCTTCTACTGGGTATGTTTGCAACAAACATTTCCTGCAGCCTCCCGTAGTTGCAGTCCAAGTCTAGAGGTACATGTTGTATCTGGTCAATCAACATCAACAATCAACTATACCAGTGGCATCATCAGTACAAGTGCTCTTGTCCAAGTCTGCTCAATCAACATCAAACCATTCTGATTAACAAACAAATCCTGCATTGCCTCTGATCTACCTCTCTTCAAAGGTCCATGTGACAGGGGATTCCCTGAAGGTCCTATACGTGAATTTGATCCATGCTCCATGACATCTCTGTGCGCGCTAAATAAGGAGACACTTCCAAACCCGGTAGCCTCCTAGCACTATATCCCTCCCCCCCCCCCCAAAAAAGAACAAAACTGAAAGAGTCCCTTCCTCTGACGTCCCCCCCGCTCATCTTCCCACACCTTGCTGAGACCATAATGTTCCAGTGCTTCAGGTGGGTGCTCCTCGTCCAGCGGCAAGTACCGCGGGCGAAAGGCGCCAGGGTCGTGAGACCAACCTGGGCCGGTTTGGAGCCAACGTGTGTGGCGTGGTCGGCAAACGTCCAAACATAGGAGAATTATGAAACAAAAAAGAACACACATGGATTTTGGACCGCTTTTGGGGAACTTGGCTTTATTTAGCTAGGCAAGGCAGCTTTCAACGCTGGCATTTAGGATTATAGTTAAGGCTTGCAGCTGGAACTGAAGACTTGGGGGATGAGGCCACATGATTTTGGTCATTTGGACTCTACTAACCCGTGATCGAATGATTCCAATTTCCCCGAAAGGCGTCCCGACATGTCCCGACAGTCATAGGACTCATCGACACTCATCGAACTCCAGTCCACGATGGCCCCCGCGAAACCCAATCAAGAGCCTCTGATGAAAAAAACAAGAAGGCAAACAATGAATCTGAAGAAATCACATGTCCCTATCTTGTCACATTTTCTAAGAGCCGATTTTCTTCATCCAAGTCACCCATCGAGAAGAGCGAGGAGGAAAAGACCACTCTCCTGGGGACCAACCCGGAAAGGTCGTGGCGTCCGAACGCAGCACAAATGGTCCGAATGCAGCACTGGCCCAGCACCAGTCCAGCCGGAAAAATGGGAGCAGCTTGTGGTCTTAATGGACACTTCCTATAACTGAGGAGCTGGCTGCACCTACCCTGCATTGAAAGCCGATGGGAAGATTTCCAACTCAAGTGTCTTTTGCCTTTGATCCATCGATGAGTTTGTGCCCGGCTCATCGATGCCAAGCATCAGTGCAGTGACTGAAGAGTGATGCAAATGGGTTTCTTTTGACTCAATTTTGTGACTTCTCTTCTCTTTGTATTGTTTGCGCAGTAGGGGGTGCTAGTCGCCGTTCGTTAAACCTGCAGCCCAATAATTATCATTCACTTTGCGGCCAAGGGCGGCACCATTCGAGTTCAATGGGAAGGATCGCGGGTCCGCTGGTCCTGTGCCCATGCGCAGCACAGGCCTCGAAGAGCAGGGCGGTGCCCATGAGATTCTCCTGCAAAGACATCGGTGGGGGCAGCCCTTGGGCAATTTTTCAAGGTTTCGAGGACCCATTCAACCCAGCAAACTGAACTGAAGACCTGCGAGAGGTCCTTGAGCTGGTTCAGTAGCCCCAACACTGCCCAAACCCCAACAACTTACCTTCTTAGTTGTGCTTCACAGCATAGCCGAGTCCGGACAGTCAGAAGGTGACTGTTCTACTCTGGGTGGTCGGAGCCTGAAGAGATTTGTCCTAGTTGTGCATGGCCAGGTTTGTGTGACGTGTGCCTTCCCACGTAGTCAGCCACTAGGGGATCATGTCGCTCCCTCAGGACGGCGTCAATGGTTTCGTAAGCACCGTCGCAATGCAAGGTTTACTGTCCGGGGTGTTTGGGTGCCTCGTTTTGGCTCAACTCTTAGCGGTTTCAATCTGTTTCTCCTGGATTCCCCACCTCGAAACGGGGTCACGCTTCAGCATCCTGATGAACACCCTGATGAAAACAGGTATCCGATGATGTTCAGACAAGTCCACCAAGCCATCTGAGAAAGAATTGGAAGCACGAACTTCCACCACCAATTCATCACAAGGGCCATCTCAGGAAAAGCAAGAGTTGAAGCCTCCAGCATGTTCAATGTCAATCGATTCAACTCCACGTCAGAGACCTTCCCACTTCCAAACCTTCAACAGGTCGATGCCCTCACAAGTCTCCAAGCCTAGCACAGTGCAACACGGCTAAAACATGCTGACAGGAAAGCTCCTGGCCTTTCAAGGGTTCCAGCATCATGAGGGTCGAAAATCCTTCCCCCACATAGAATCAAACTCCCCTAGTAGGCTAGCCCAGAACAGGAACTTCTTGGGGCCATGACAGCAAGAGTGGCTGTGGTAGTGGGGGGAAGCCTGGAAATGAGTAGAAGAAGCAGTAACTTATAATGAAATGTAACGAACCTCATGTATCGTTAGCTTGCATGACAACGAAAATTAAGAGGTGAACCGTATGTGGAAGAAGAGTTTGGCACAAGAATGGCAAGAAGCATGCCATGGGAGAAACCACCCGAATCACCTCGGAGGGTCGACTCCCATGCTGACTCGGGACATCCCGATCCAATCCAACTTGGTGAGTGAGTGGAAAGACTAAACCTGAATCAAACATTCGGTTCACAAGATCGATCTGGATCCAAACAAGAAAACCACACGAAAAGACACCGCAAGTGTCCAAACGCTTCACCATTGGGATCTAGCTGCTATATAGGCTTGCAAACAGAAGTGCGGCCATACGACATGGTGATGTCTGGTATGAGAAACAAACCGGGCCCGGGTCCTTCCTGGGGTAGACTGCCACGCCTGCTTAATTCACCGGACTGTCCACCAAACAAGAAAACTTGTTCCTTATGGTAAATGTGTAGGTCCGGCTGCCAGTCAAATCAACCCATTTGGCTCAACCATTCTCCCAGCTGCATCAATTCCGTTACATATAAGACCTGCTCCACCGTGTTGCTACTTGTGAAACTAACGTGGCTGTTGTAGTTCAACGTGTTTCACCTGGGTGGTTCTATCAATTATGTCCCTTCATGGAGAGATTGAAACTTGAAATAAGGATCTCTTTTCTCCAAACTTTGGTCAATTTCTGGCCTTAGTGACCACACCTGAGCAACGCCTCACTCACCACTGAAACATCAACACCACTGACTCCCTCAGAACAAAAAGGAAACAAGGTTCACCATGGTTCACCCATACTTTTTCCGTTCTTCAAACCGCACGGACACCAACAGGCCAGCGAAAATGCGCCCGCGCGCGGCTCCGGTGGGCTTGCTCCAGGGCACCGATACCAGAGGTCTGTGGATCTTCGACCCCGACGGGTGGACTCTGCGAGGGCCCGGGAATCGCGCCTCGAAGCTCAGGTGTGCGTGGGCTGACAAGTCGTTTCACTGAAAAGGCTTTGGAGGCTAGGGGAAAGGGTGGAAGAACGTGCTGCATCACCTTGAGCACCAAGCGCGAATGAGGAAGTCATCCCCGATGCATGAAAACTATTCCTTCAAAACTGGGCATGGAAGAGGAAAACAACCTGTCATTTGTTCTGGAGAAAAGCTTAGGAAAATGGTCATCCGAGGGGCCATGTTCCACCTCCCTGATTGGGCAGCTGCCCAAATGCCTTCAAGTATCACAGCCACCGACTCCAGCTGCCCAACTCTACCGTCTCCCCGGCCGTGTCGCCTACGTGGATGGTGGACTTGGCCTTGGAGGCCACGAAACGCATCTTCTCCCCGTCGCACAAATCCGCCTGCCGCGCGGCACGGGGTGGGCCGTAGTAGTGTGTAATGTAGACTCTTGATTATTAAACCCCCCTCGTTTGAATGCGCTCACTTGCGGTTCGGAGACGCTTCTACGTTACCCCTTCCTGTGTTTTACAGCGGGTGTAAGTAGAGTAGGTGAGAAGAAGAAACGTCACCTGTACAGCTACAAAGAAACACGAAGTGGAATCTACGACACGAAAGCACGGCAAATGTGGGATAGTGGACCCACAAAGAACAAGGACGAAACTTGTGCAATCTCACCAAAGGTTAATTCAAGGAATTATGTCCGAATTAGGCATCTAATTAAAGGGTGAACGGACAGAGTCGAGTGGTTTATTCCGGAATAAGGCATTCCGGACATTCTGTATATATTTTTCTTGCTTGTCGGGGGGCACCTCATCCCACGTTGGCCAAGTGCGAATGGGTAAGCCCTCCGGAAGCATAGGTAACAGAATTTCAGTATGGTATGGTGGATCGTGTGGCATATGCATTAACATATCTTCCAGGAATTGATTGGTGGCTGCACTGTTGGGCAAAGAAGGTCTCCGCGAGATTCCACCTTCATGGTAGGAAGTAAATCCTAGTCTAGTAAGGCAGGATGTGCCCTGTTTCTTATAGACCGGAACGAGTTTGGTACGCGAGAACGTCTGGATATGTTTGATAATCCGTCGAAAGTTATCAGCAAGCACTCGGAGGGAGCGAGCTTTGACAGGCAAAATTTGCACCCTAGGATCACAATATGGGACGGCTTCGGAATAATTTTTATGACGGATTCGGACCGGAAGTACAAGCTGCGCCCTGTGCGCTTCCCCTCGTTTGAATTGGAAATCCTCTTCAAATGGAGGGTTTATTAATCAAGAGTCTACATTACAGGGTGTGGCCATGAAGTCTGAACAAATCATTCTTAAACATGGGGAGTAGACTTGGACATTAATTCATCTGAGTCGCTTTCACCAGTGAAAGGATGGCTCAAGCTGCGACAGAGGCAGACTGGCATCTTACGACACCAGAAGGAACATCTGTGGGCAAGCGCAATGGCACAGAAACAAACATGCCGACGGAGCTGCATGTTTGTGCACACCAAGTGATGAAACTTCCATTGATCAGCGAACGCAGCACTTCATTGACATTGACATGGGTTATTTCTCGGGAATCATCAAGGTGATGCGGAAAGTCACTGAGATGTGAAGCTGGTGGCCAAGTTTAAAAGCCCCACGATCCAACATGGGCCATGACAGCTAGGAACGGTGGACATGGCTGTCCAAAGCAAGAACTTTCACTCTGGACATGGCGTGGAGTAGGTACATGGAGCACAAACTGCCGGCTACAGGTCCTGAGAGCTACATGCTGATGGGGCGTCTCTGGGATTGTCTCCCAGTACTTCAGTCTCAATTTCGAGCGTTTGGGCCCCGACCCAACTCGTGTTTTTTCGGCTTTCCGGGAGAGAGAACACCTCTGGGGATCGAGTGCTGCTTCGATGCCAAAACTGTCCCACACTCTCACACGTCTCACTTCACCTGCTCATCACACACCACCTCTCCCAACTCACCTCACCCACTCCTTCCACTCCGTTCCACTCCTTCCCTCCTTCTCTTCCACTCACCCGCCTTCACGAACTCCACACCCTTCAGTGGCTCTGTGGGTTCCACGCGATCAGTTCCTATCACCGCGTAGCCCTGCTGCGCCAGGCGCTGCGCGATCTGCCGCCCCAGTCGGCCGCTGGCGCCCGTGACCAGCACCGCCATTGGCACTTGGGTGGCGCCCGCCACGGTGAAGGTGGTTGGGTGAGCTCTGAGTGGAAGTTTTGAAGACATGCGTCAAAAAGGCTGAGAGTTCGAAAAAACACAATTTCATGATGGTGCGTTTTGCTCAAAAATCCGTGGTGGTGCAGGATGTGTGACATCGCTGAGTTGAAAAAGAAAGTGGGTGAGAGATATGCCTCGTGACTGTGTTGCTAAGGGGTAATTAGGGGCCCAAGCTGGTGTAGGTAGAGCACAGAATATTTGACTCCTAAACTCCTCAAAGATCCCATGTATATAATCGGGTTCAAGGACATGGCTTCTACAAATCGCGTCGCTTCTTTTCATCGAGCCCAACGAAGAAACACATCAACCCCGTGGTATGTTCGCGATCGGAAAGACCGGTCGCACGCTGGTCGATCGTGTCAATCCTGCCAGCTTGTCTCCCGGCGTGTTTACCGCCCTGGTGCATGGCTGTCTCCGATTCCAAGGGAGGCTTCAAAGGGAGGCTCTCCGTCGGGCTAGCTTGGCGGTGGAAAGGTGGCGGGAAGGATGCCTACTTTCATGGGAGCTTGGGAGGAAGATCAAGAAACTTGATGTTTTGCAACAGCTTTCCCTTGTGGTTCATTGGACCCTGGGGAATGTACTGCTCCCAGCTAGATTGGGGAATGTAGGAGCTGCGAAAAAGCTATCAAAAGCCAATGCAAGTTGCCAAAATCTCTCACCCCAAGTCGCCAAGATCCGAGCTTTACAGCAATATAGCACCTTTTTCAACAAGCCAACCAGATCCCACCAATTCTCAATTCTTCCTTTGTTTCTCTTCTTCTTGTATCAGGCCCAAAAAAGTTTTTAAACAAACACCCAAGCATATCATATACTATATATATATATATATATTGAGATCCTATGAGATCCTCACCCTGGCTCTCCACCTGACCGAGCCCACCCCTCCGAGCGCTCCGGGCTCGGAGTTGGATGCTCTTCCGATCCTCCGAGGGGATCACAAAGGCGAAGGTCCCCGTCGACCCGCTCGCCTCCGGCCGAGGGCGGTCGGTGTGGCGCCGTTTGGACACGGAGGCATGGGGAAACAGGAGGGGAGGCGTTCTTTGTTGTTATCAACGGGTTTCTTTTTGGATGTGGAAAGGCATATGCCTGAAGAATTGCTAACATAGGAGAAGATCTTAGCAGTTGCCGAGGGCTAGCGGCTGGGTTAGTGGGTGGTTCAATGGAGAAGGCGACACAAAAGCGCTTTGAGGACAAAGTGATAAGGCCGAACATCGTATCTGTTCTACGAAGGGGCTCCGCTTCAACGTGTGCTCATGCGAAGGGCCTGCCCACGGCGGGGGCAGCACACTTCAGATGTGCATGAGTTCTTCTTTGGAAACCCCATGTGAAGCAAGTCGCTCACTCGCCCCAAATATCTACAGGATCCCACAAGATGCCAATCACGCCTCACATGAGGAGGAGGAGGAGGAGGAGGAGGAGGACGAGGACAAGGATGAGGAGGAGGAGGATGCAAACATGATCCATTGACTGTTCTTTATTTACACGGTGGGCACGATGGGCTTCAACAGACCCCACGTACGTTGTTGATCCATTCCCCATTCTTCACAGTAGCGTTCACTGAACAACCAGACCACAAGGCCACCAAAACTTGCACCTTCTTTCAGACTCCAATATGGGCAATACACCACTAGGACAAAAGTGTTTGATTCCAAAATTTGACAACCCTCCCCGTAGAATCGTGCAAGAGACTTGTGTCCTCACACGGTCGAAGGGCCTCCCTCCAAAGCTGTTTCCTTGTTTTACGGTTATACATGTGAAGGAGGGTGGAAATGGGCTTCTGAACTCGACCGCGGCTGATCTTCTGAAAGATCGGCTGAAAGTGGGACCCACGAATGGACAGCGTGTCGTGATTTTTTGGTAACTCCACGGCAAGCCATGCACCGAGGACCTGAAGCCACCACCCAAACAAAATCAACTCATCAAACAACTCAACGATAAACCAATCGACCAACCAACACAACAAAATCCCCAGAACCGGCTGCATGTCACTTGGAACCAGAACATCAAAATGTGTATCCATCTCCGAAGAGTCAAATTATGTATGAAACCTTTTCTTTAAAGCATCAACAATTGCTTTTGCCAAGGGGGACCCCTTACAAATGCCAAGAACATACAATCATAAACCACTGTCAATAATAAACTCTATTTGGCCATCTCGGTTGTGTAGTTCTCAAATGAAGGTTTGCAGTCCATATTCAGCTGTTCTTTCCAGATCTTCGTGCATCCTTGTTTTCCATACAATTATGAACCACTGTCAATAATAAATAAACATAATTGCACTAGCTAGAATTTGTTTAAGGTGAAGGTTTGCCATCCTTGTTCAATTCTTCTTTCCAGAGCTAGCGCGCTCGACGCCACGAGACCTGCTTGGTCTCCAGAAACTCTGTATCTATTCCTTGGTACATGCAGTTTGTTGCACCCGGACAGGATGGCCTTTTGTATCCCAACAGGATAGGAAGCAACATGCTCCTGCTACCCTCTGGAACAAAGTGACCGCAGCTAGAGTTCCCTAACACCTGTATACCCGACAAGCTCCAAACCACGTATCGATCGTTCAACTCTGGTGCCGTCGCTGTCCGAACCATTCGGCACCATCGAGAGATCCGATCTCAAAAATCCAACCGCGCCCAAACGAGTTCCTTTCTTGCGCCAAAAGCATCGATATGCGCAAACAACATACACATGTATAAAAACGCAAATGTATGTCTAAATATACATATGAACAAATGTATAGATATACAATTAAAGACCAACAGCATGTATATAGATATGCATCATTGTTCATCAAAATGACTCGACGACCTCATCGACCGAGTGAAGCTCTTTTGTTTGGCCACGGTTTCTTTCGTGGTCCAAAGGGTTAATTGTTCATTGACTGGGAGCTATACATGTTGAGCATCCAGCCCCAGTCCCGGGATGCACTTGGCTCGTTCTTAACCACTCCGCACCCATCTTCAGAATGGTCTGGGACTTTTGAGGAAATGCTGACATGCTTGCCAGTTACAATGATGTACAAAGTGTATCAACGTGTACTTTCCAGCACGTCCCCAGGTGTTGGTGCTCATGCCCTATGTCAGTCCGCCTTGGCAAACATTGAGCAATCAATCTTTCTGAATAACAAATGAAGCTTGTTGCTGGTTCCTACCCCGAGACGCCCAAGATCGGGAAGATTGGATTGATGGGACCAGTTCGAACAACCTGCTCGGATGATCTCACGACCAGGCGAAGAACAGTAATTACTTGGTAGAAAAAATGCTGCTCCGATGCACTGTCCAACCTGTTCAACCAAACGGGACTGCGCTCTTGCACTTGAAACCTGAAACAGGTGGAGAAGGAAACAAACATGCTTTCTCTTTAGCTGAGTAATTGAATATAGCTGAATCATGGCTGATCCCTATGATTCTATGAGGCTTTCGGAAAATCCTAGAAACACGTGCCACCCCTTCAACACTCCTAATAACACATGTCTTAGTAAAGAATGCTATACAGATCCTGCTCACCCCAGTCACCTCTCAGGGCCCAGCTCATCATCAGCTGCTTCACACCTTCATCATCGGGGGGTTGTTCCATCTTGCTGAGCTCCTGGCAAGACCGGTCCCGTTTGGGCCGTGACCGATCCGTCCGGAAGACCGGTCTGCAGCTTGGTCTTAGCTTGGCCAACTTCCGCTCGAGATCTCGCCCATTTGTCAAAGTCCGTGTACTGTAGACCTTTCGTAGTCTTTGTCCCGCCTGTGGATACCGTTTCTGTGTTTAAAAGAGTGATATATATATATATAGTGCAGGGAATGTTGCATCGCGCCGAACCTTGCCGGATACAGGTCGCTACGACTTTGTTGCGGGCTGGACTCCTGCGCGGAAAAGTCCTTCGCCGTCAGAGATGTTCAGGGCTCAAAGGCCAGGCCATGGATTGTCAGTACCATCTCTAAAGATCTCTAGTAGCGTCCGATCGCTCCTAGTAGCGATGCCCTTTGCTCCTAGTAGCTTCTTGCTCCTAGTGGTAAGGCCAGGAGCTAATGCTCAGAATTTTGTCAGGCACTTCAAAACATTGTCCCAGTCTTTCCGTGCCATTCTGTGTGCCTCTTCTTTTTGTGTCGGGACTCTTTGGGAAGAATGTGAGGGCAGAGTTGGAGCAGCTGCAGCCTGCAGTCTTTCCCAAGAAATGGAATGGTCCATCCGGTTGCCCAGCTTGTGTCATCCATATTCTCTGAGCAGTTCTGTGTTTTTCGGGCACACATATACCGTCTTCAAACGGGTTCAGAAACTACAAAAGGCAACTATTTTTGTTGCACTGCGCGCCAACCAAAACTACGTAATTAATCAAAACATATCTGGTCATGGTACTTCCCTCCAGTCTCAAACCTTTTCTCAACAACTCCCACTCCTTTGTGCAGAACAAAAAGCACCGTCCACCGTCCGCCCCTTGAAACACGCGGCTGAAAACGTACGCTGTCACCGTCCGCTTCGTCTGCTTCGTTCGGTCTCCTCAGTCAATCTCCGGGCCACAAAGGAGGAGCATTGCTGACCGCCGTGGCCATCAAAAACGCCGAAAAAGCCTCGGCTGCAAAAGACCGGCTTAGCAGGTCCTGCTGTTGTGATGAAAAGAGAATGTAGCGGAGACCCAGCGTTTGGAAGACCCAAAGATGAAGCTGTAGGATGGGTGGTATAGTAAGGTAGCAGGCCAGAAATTGATTAATGTTGTAATGGGGGCTGTGAAAAGAGATAAACATGTAACACCGCGACTTGGGATGATCAAAGCAGTGCCTTCCAGCTTGGTCGTGCACCAGTTGCTGGTCAAACCCAGGAACCGGATCAATTGGAAAATTGTGCTCTGCAAACATTGTTGAGATGCTTCCTCGCATGCCAATCACCAAAAAGGTGCCAACCGCCAACGGGAAGTTGGGCGTGCCCTGCAATGGCAAATTAGCTTGATCACATCACAA